GCTGCCCGCCCCCCAGCCACTCTTCCCCAGGCCTGTAGCGTTGCATGGGGTTGTTGTGACCCAAGTCCAGGACCCAGCACTTGGCCGTCTTGAACCTCATACAGTTGGCCTCAGCCCATGAATCCAGCCTGTCCAGGTCCCTCTGCAGAGCCCTCCTCCCCTCAAGCAGATTGACATTCTCACCCAGTTTGGTGTCATCTGCAAACTTACTAAGGGCACACTCAATCCCCTCATCCAGGTCGTGATAAAGATGTTAAACAAGACCAACCCTTGAACTGAGCCCTGGGGGACACCACTTGTGACCAGCCACCAACTCCATTCACCACAACTCTCTGGGCTTCGCCATCCAGCCAGTTTTTTACCCAGCGAAGAGTATACCTGTCTAAGCCATGAGCCGCCAGCTTCTCTAGGAGAATGCTGTGGGAAACTGTGTCAAAGGCTTTGCTGAAGTCCAGGTAGACTCCTAGCATCCTGTGTCTGTCACTAGCTTGTTTTAGACTGGTCATCTGGATACATGGTTTTGCAGTACCACTGTATTACAAACCCACCAATTTAACTCCATCATCTAGTCTTTAGAATCATGAGCACCTCCAGAATAACCACCATTTTTCTCTTTATGTGTAAAAACACTGAAACCTGTTTGCATCAGATCGCCAAGTGTTACTTAGTCTCACCAGCTCACATTCACAAATTAAAACCACACAGCTGCTCTGTGCAGCTGCCCAAGGGAATGTGTCAACATTTGCTTTGTGGTAAGAGGCCATGACTGCTGCCATCAACAACTCTAGGACATGTTGGCATGAGCCTCCCTTGCTACTGAAGAAGTTAAGAACTGAACATTGTATCTAAACCCTTAACTAAAAATTGAGTTCAGTTTCATTGCTTTTCCTGCATTTCTGCTGAGATTAAGCTCTTTTCCTGATACCAAATCCTACTTTAAACTTCAGTTTCATGTTGTTATTTGGAAACCCTAGGACAGGCAGTCATTGACTGGAAAAAACCTAAGAATGTATTCCCTTACAAAGCTGAATGCATTATATTCCAAAATGGAGAAGTAATAGTAATACAGCTTTCTAAGCCTAAATGTAAAGTTAAACTTCTTCACAATTATTTCCTACTTTCGGAAGGAATTTAATACAGTTTGTCAGCTGGACATCAGCAATTTGTCTTTAAAATGCCAGCTACATTTCCAGCTGCATAAAATGCCAGCAGATGATACAAGATAGCCCTACCTCCATATATGGCATGTATAAATCACTTTTAATTTTTCATTTCCCAATAAAAGCTTAAAATACAAAGAAGAATGTTTGAACATTTTGATTTTCACTGTTTACCTGCTGAAATATGAAAGCTTTTTAAAATGAGTAATTAGGGAGCCTTGTGGTAAGGCCTGTGGCAAGTGCAGCCAAAGTGTTTCCAAGGGTAGTGGGTCTGGGTGTTATTTTTCATAGCAGCCTGTACAGCACTGTGTTTTGTACCTACACCTAAAACAGTGCTGATGTCACACCAATATTTTATCTACTGCTGCAGTGTTTGCACAGCATCAAGGCTTTCTCTGTCACTCTGCCTCTCCAGCAAACAGGCTGGGGGTGTGCAAGACATGGGGAGGGGACACAGCCAGGGCATCACTTTGTTTTGTTTTGCTTGGGAGAGCTATGATAAAAGCACTGGCCTTGAGCTTAGATGTTATCGGGCCCTGCATTACTGCAGACCCTTTGCGGGGGTACCTGTTCCAGTGCAGCCTTACCCATGTGTCACAGTTCCTGTCGCGAACTACAGAACTGCGCTGGTGTGGGGTCCTCCACGGGCTATAGCATGGCACCACATGCTGACCACCGTCTTTAGAGTGAGGGTCTACAGTAGATGGAAGTGAGTCACAGAGAAGAACAACTTCACTTTGGATTGTCGTAAAGTTTCTGTGCATCTTAGCTAAACAGGCCAATTCAAAAAATGTACATTTGTAATCATCTTTAAAAAGGTGTAAAGTGATCAGAGAAAAAGTTATCCAGTCAAGGTTTATCTGAATCTTCACCTTACCACACAAATTATTTCATAGCATAAAATGCTGGGCAACTTGAAAATTGTAAAATAAGATTTCCTAAGAACACGGATATTACTATCATATCTGGTTATACATTGGAGGACGATTCTAAAAAACTAAAATTCCAGTAAATCGTAAATCCCGGTATGTTTCTCCTTCAACCCAGCCATGCATCGACAAACATTTGTGAACTAAGCGATCTTCATAAAACTATTTAAAAGATACACTTTGCTAGAATTCTAACTCATAACTTGGATCCTGATCTTCACCACTATAGTTAGGCGAGCACAACGTTTCATACAAATAGGCCAACAACTAAAGTTTGCAAAGTTTAGTCTTTTACCAGGAGCACCTCAAACGTTCCCTCATAACGCCTTCTCACTGAGGGTTTCTGCACACGCATAGCAAATCTTTGATGCCAGTTTGCTACAGTATTGGGCCTGGTGCTGACACATACCTCGTCCACAATTATGGGACAAGGGAGTAACAGTCACAGGCTATAAAGTTCTCATGGGGATGGATACCACCATCACTAGTTGGAAAGTCTTGCTTCCACCTAACAGGTAGCAAGCCTGCAGGTCCCAGTCAATATCACAGCAGGATTCATGACCTTATTTTTCCAGGGTTCCGCTTTTCTAAACTGGAAATACATCCATATCCTGCATAACAGAAAACCCTAAATAAACAATGAGGAGTGCATTTAACAATTAAAAAAAAAAAAGCAAATACATAGTACATTCATACACTCTCTTCTAATTACACTAGATTTCTAGACGCAGATAGGTTCTTTGGGAAATGTTAAAATGTTCAGCACTTAAACACTACTGCTTTGGTCACCATAATGCATTACCTGGTAAGTCAGTCTTCATAATGTCAACGCCAACTTGAAGCTCAGGCTCAGCTGCAAGAACTGCATAATCTCCTTGATGAGAGACATTGAAGTTGTAATTCGAATAGATACTGAATACGCTATTTGCCAGGAAAGGTTTTCCTTTTGATGTCCTTTGCAAGTGTATTTCATTCCAAGGTATGCACAACTTTTCTGCAATTAATTTCCGTATCAGCAGGCGACCAGCCTATGAAATAAAATGGAAGTGATTCACACAGAACTATTACGCTATGTGTAAAATACCTGTGGTTGCTAGAAAACCACCTGCCTAAAAAATATTATTTTTGCCAATAGGAAGAGTGTATTTTAGCCACATCATTTAGATTTCTCCCTTTTATAAAAGCCTATATCAAGTAAATTTAATCAAAATAGTTCACCAGTCCCAAGCATATATAATACACTTGTTATCACTATTAGCACAAAGACAACACAAGACCCAATAAACAGCGGTCCCAGCCTGGAAGAATCACAAAGTTCCTTCTCTACCTTACTTACCCTAGGATACTTTATTGCACAGATGAGTACTTTTTATACCACACTGAACGGCAAAACTGTCTCAACAGCTTTACTTTCCATACATTCATTCAGTTATTAATGTGCTACATGAAATACCGAACAGTTAAAAATTATGAGTAACTTCTTATAGACTAATTAGCACAAGCCTGTATTACTACCACATCGTTACGTGAGATTTAAAACCTGAATTATGTAAACCAGCTTTATTCTCTTACACATTACACTACTGTCTTCACACGTTGTCTGCTGGAGTACATTGCCTCTGTCTCCCAACTTGACATAAAACTTGTTTAGTCTTTCAGAATAACAGTTAATAGCAGACTTCAACCATCCCTTTCGCCTCCTAGGCGAGGGTGTAAGTGGAGCTGGCAATTAATACTTTATAATGTATTTGCTTCCCGGAAACGCCCCTGCCGGGCGTATTTTCCTACGACAAGTCCGAAATTTGGGCAATACTGAATCTGCAGAGAGACGACAGCGTCCCCACGGGAAAGAGCCGGTCCCGGGGCCACGAGTGGTGCCGGAGGG